TTGTCCAACCTTGACATCTGTTCAGATTAGTGATTGATTATCATTGATAAAATATAGGTAGCCAGGTACATTCTTTTAATTTGGCGGTACTAAAAGTTAAGTAGAGATAAAATCTATAGTAAATACGGTAAATCAAAAAACGGAATAATTATTTGAAGTTCATAGGTGTCAAGAATACGAAATTAAAATTTCAAATATTTAAATGTCATATCAAAAAATAGAAAAATCAATTAATTTTGTTAATTGATTATAAAATATAAATAATAAAAGTTATAAATAAAAATCTATACAAGCCTCCACTCCAACAAAAAGGTAGAGCACGGTAGTCATCCATTTAAGGCCACTTGTCGAGGGAAGTTGCAAATGGAAGTTGCCGATTCTAGTCTGGAATCAACGCTAGAAGTTCAGTTTTCTTCGTCAAATGTAAGGGTACACGTATCGACTCGGGAGGGACTTGATTCCTCTACGGATCCCTTCAAAAGCTCTATGCCACGCTCCATGAAAATGGTATTTTTTTGAAAATATGGTTTTTTGGAAATGGATTCTTTGAGAGAAACGGCTCCTTGGAAAAACGGCTTCTCGGAAAAAGGGCTCCTCGGAAAAACGGCTCCTCGGAAAAACGGCTCCTCGGGCAAACGGCTCTTCGGAAAGCCCTAAGTGATAGGGGCATTCCATGAACAACCATTATATAAAAAAAAAATCAAAATTCAAACTTGAATAGAACGATAATCATAAGACTTCCGATTTTAATTTTTTCGGTATTCAACAGAAATTTACCTTGCAAGTTTCTTTCGCCAAATTAATGCCTAATGGCCGATAAGGTACTTTTCTTCACGAGAACGGTAATCACAATTGAGGAAGATGGCTGCCCCCAAGTCAGGCTCGACCTTCAGGCGAACGGCAAAATTAAAAAGGGACGAAAAAACGGACAATCTCTACTAGCAGAGCCTTCTTTCAAAAAATAGCCAACGGAAAGTGTTGGTACTAAACTGGTACCTGCTTCAAACTTAAATGAAAAACGTACCCTCTAGTTTAATAATTGCTAATATTATTAGCAGCAGAAACCTTTTTTTTTTAATGCTAGTCACCAGACTGTCAACATTAAAGGTAATAATCTAACTTATAAAATCATATTTGAAATAATAAAGGAACAAATACTAACAGTAGCATTTCACATGCTACAGTAATTGGAGTCCTAATAAAAACCTTCCACGAAAGTTCTCAAGATTGTTTTTTTTTCCTAGGTCAACTTGTAAAGATATTCCGAAATAAGTTGATTTTATAAAAGCAACATGTTCCCCTCATCAGCGGTATTGTACTATCAGAAATCCGAGTCCGTATTTAAAAAATCTCTTTCATTTATTATTCCATTTGAATAAATTAAAACAAAATTACCGATCGATTAGCCGACCGAACAGGTCTCCCTAGTTCCTGAATTTTTAATTCCGCAAATTTTTTTGCCATTTTATATTACCTACGAAAGCTCATACCAGTCAGTATAATTCAATGCCAGTAGAAGCATTTATCCTCATAAAGGTTTTAAGCTGCTCAACAAAGTAAGGGAATGTCTAAATAAGTTTCATCAGCTCTGTAGCGCCCTCTGAGAACTGAAGCAACACTTAGGATCATTCAAGAGCAGCTAGCTCACCTATAATGGGTTCTTCTGATCTGCTCTTCTGACTTAGGAAGCATCTGTATTAAGCGAGTCGCGTCTGTGCAATGGGTGTGAACAGGAAGACGAAGCAGTGGAGCATCTGCTTTGCCACTGCGATGCTGTTTCAGATCAAAGAGAAATTTTGAGAAAACTAAGGCCCTCTACAGCCTTTGAAAGCATCATCGAGTAACATCGCCGCCTTTTTCGAAGCATTAGGCTTGGAATTCGAAGGTTCACCCTTCAGCCGATCCAGATTCAGGAACACCCCAAGCTTAAAACCACTAAGTGTAGCTAGGCATATATAAGCGGTTTGATGTTTTGTAACAAGTACAGTTACAAGCGTCGAATTTGAAATTTAAGATCCTCATGTTGCAGAATAGGGAAATTATCGTATCTAAAGCATAGGGTAAAAAGCTTTTTATTATTGATAGATGTCGCCATGCACCGATAAACATATGCTTCCACCATAGCTTTGCCGCGGAGGCAGTCATTTTCGGTTAAGTTGCACCCTCTTGTACCTTGAAACATCGGCACATCTTGTACCTTGGCCTTCGCCTATTCCAAACAAAAAATATCTGGAAATGACTAATTCGAAAGTAATTTTTGGGTTGTGTTCAATAACTGCGTGATTAACTTGGATGTATTTCATTGTACACAACATGGCTTATTAGACGAATGCAAAACTCTGCCTAACTTGCACTGATGGCGCGTAGGCTATAGGAAAAAGACAAGCTCAAATGAAAAGTAATGTTGTTTAATTATTAATAATATACCGAGGGATGTCTCATAACTAGTGTCTCACAAGAATTCTTCATTTGAATGTATATATATACATGTCGTTTTAGAACGTCTTTCTTCGTTGTCCGACACCTAATTTCCATCCTCTTCTATCGTCGCAATCCTCTGATGAGATATTTCTTTCACTCATGGTCTTCTGCCATTCCAGTTTTGGTCTTCCTCGTTTTCTTCTACCTGTTGGTTGCCAGTGCAGCATTCTTCTGGGCCACCTGTCATTTGGCATTCGTTCTACGTGTCTGTACCAGGTAAATTGTTTCTTTTCAATGTCCTGGACTATCGTACCTTCTATACCCATTTGTTGTTTTATATCGTCGTTCCTTATTCTGTCTCTTCGTGAGATTCGGATGGATCTTCTAATAGCATCCATTTCAACTGCTTCCACTTTTTTCTTTTGTCTGTCTGTAATTCTCCAGATCTCGACTACATATAGAAGGCTGCTCTTTATCATTGTCTCGTATATATTAAATTTTCTTTTCTTTGTAATTTCCTTGCTCCATAATATTCCATTTAGACCTCCTATTACTTTTTTTAGCTTTAACTATTCGATTTTCTATTTCCTTCACGTCTGTTCCGGTGTTGTCGAATGTGATACCTAGATACTTATATTTTTGACATTGCAGAATTTCCTGACCATCGTCCACTTCCAAGTTTCCGTTCTAGTTGCCTACACATAGATATTTTGTTTTAATTATATTAACTCTCAGACCCCATTCTTGATACTCTTCTATCAGCTTTCTAATCATATATTGCACGTCCTCTTTGTCACTGGCCACTATGATCTGATCATCTGCAAACTGAAGAGTAAACAGGCACCTATCATTTATCTCTATACCCATTCCATGGATCTTCCTCTAACAATTTTTCAGTGCTACTGCTACGTATATTTTAAAAAGCGTAGGAGAGTTACAACATCCTTGACGTAGTCCTTTATTTACTATAAATGTGTCTGTGAGTTTTTTACCTATCTTAATTCTTGATTTTGAGTCTTTATATAGTTCTTTAAGTGCCGTTATGTAGGTGTGATTGATGTTTGTGTGTTCTAATACCTTCCATAGTCTGGATACTGGGACTGTATCGTATGCTTTTTGTAGGTCAACAAAGGTGAGGTGGGTTTCCAAATATCTAGCAGATCTCTTTTCTATGACTTGTTTTAAGCAAAATACGTTGTCCGTACCGGATCTTGCTGCTTTGAAGCTGCACTGCTCTTCTTCTTGCTCTTTATAGTCTTCTTCAATGAGATCACGCAGGATTCTACCGTATAGTCTGCTTACTGTGCTTGTGACTGATATGCCCCGATAGTTATTGCAATCCAGCTTATTTCCTTTTTTGTGAATGGATGATATAAAAGCCGTTTTCCAGTCTTGTGGAACAGGATGTCCATTCAGGCATTTATTGATAATACATGTGAGACCTTTAAAGAGCTTCTCAGTTCCCCATTTCAGCATTTCTGAGTATATCCCTTCTGGGCCGCTAGCTTTACCTGACTTAAGATTCTTAACAGTCTTTTTTACTGTTTCTTCAGATATCTCAACTACTTCTCCATGTACTTCAATCTGTCTTGAAGAATCTAATATATATTCTGGTCTGCTTTCTTGTAATAGACCCTTGTAATGTTCTACCAATTGCTCTGGTTTAATAATCTGGATATTAGCTCTATCTTTTCCTGGGTTTTTGACATTTGATATAAATCTCCATACCTCTGAGCATTTCCTTCCTCCTATGTAGGTGTTAATTTCTTAACATTTCTTATCCCATGACTCGTTCTTAGCTATAGTGATGCACGTTCTTAGTTGTCTTTATAAACTTCAAGATCTTGTTCATTTTTTGTTGTTAGCCATTTCAGATATTTTTGCATCTTCTGTTGGACTAATAGCTCTATCTCCTCGTTCCACCAGTATTTCTTGTTGGTATTTTTTTCCTTCGATCCTATTGCTTCTTGGGTGGCTTCAATTAGACTCCTTATAATATTCTCATAGAGTTTATTGAAGGAACATTCTTCAGGGTTCAATAGTTTGCTATCGAGTCGCCTCTGATATAGAAATACAGTGCTGTCATCTCTAAAACTAAACATTTGAATGTTAAAGGGGTAAATTTTATTGAATGAGAGGTAAAATTGAACTTTTTTGGTTTTTGATTATTTCAATTAATTTTCTTTTTATATAGTATAGTATAGAAGGAGAAAAACTTTCTAAAATATCATCCGCTGAAATGATTGGTAATCCTAACAAACAAATCCAATTTATAATACCCTCTTCCCAACCATAATTTTCCAGTAGGTAAATACACTTAATTTTCCGAACCCAAATCCCTTCCTCAAATACTCAACTATCAATATTAAATTTCTAATATCCATTTTCGCGCCAAAAAAAAAAACAATCCAGAATAGGATCCAAATTTAATGATCAGTTGGTCACTACGTCATCAGCCTGTTGCCTTGGATACAGGAGAGCCTGGATCCCAAAAGGATGCAGGAAAGAAGAGAGGAGGGAAAGGACATGCGCTCGGCCCGAAACTATCACGTTGCTGGAATACTATGGCGGCCAGTTTTCATTCAGTCGAAATAGCATCATGTTTAGTGTAAGGTGGTGTTCTAAATACAAATTTTTGAGAATTTTCGATAGAATGGACTAAGCTAGACGGAAATTTAGTATAAGTAGGGTATTGAATATGGATCCACGGTTAGTGATTTATTTGATTTGCGTTCAGCAATTGATGGTGGAAGCAATACGTGAGTATATTTTAGATTTGGTGCTTTGATTTTTTAAATTTAAAATAATTCCTCAATCAGAAATATCTATAATAAAGTAAACAATGACAAGGCAGATATTCATCTTACAAAATAAAAAGCTCTTCCAGATATTTCGACAAAAACTCCTGTACTTTCATTTTGATTAAATCCAAACCAGCACAACTTTTCATCATTAGGTAATAATTTTTTTTTAAATTCCATTTGAATAGATAGAAATTTCTGTCGCAACGCTCGACAGAATCTTCTGTCGCAACTCTCGACAGAATTGAAACAGATTTCAATTATCGGCATAGTTCATTGTTAATAGATACTTAATATGCTTACTTTTCATCAATTAGAATACGCTGAAAAATTCAATATTTATTACCTCCTTTTAATTTTGTTCTATATATTCAAAAAGGCGCAAAACTTAGCATCTCATCAAAAACAGCATACTCAATAAAAACCCTAAATCACTCAGAAAAGTAAACTGACCCAAATTTCTTTGACGTTTCTCAGTGCGGTCTTGAAGTACATTGAACAAATACTTTATTTTCCCTATACAACTACTTTGATAAGAAGTTATTAAAAAGGCTGTTTTTAAGGATTTCAGAATTCAGCGACTAGTTCATTTTTGAAAAACTGCTGCCATTTTAGAGGCTTTAAATCTCTTTATCGGTTAATTGGTGTGATCATAGGTAGTATTGGAATCAAAGTATCTTTATAAAGATACTCTATCAAACAACGGCGCTGGTACCAGAACCAAACACTTTCAAGATAATTTTTTTGCTGATAACGCTGTTGAAATTTGGAAATGACTCCCTTTACAAAATGGATATTATTAATAATTTCAACTGACTAACTTTTCTATGCATATACATACATTTATTATTATTATGCTGAAAAGCAGAATAGGAATTTTACATTCATACAACTCTCCTCTCCTAGAATCAACTTCTACGCTAGCGGGGTAGTTGAACACTCTGATTTTATTCTCTGAGGGTAGATTGCTTGTTCCCCATGACTACTTTTACACATTTAATGTAGATAAGTATAGACGCAGTAATGGTAACGTTTCTCCCAAGACTAGGCGCTCTATTGATTCGGGTCTCACCCGCCATGACATTGTAATCACCCGCCATGACATTGTAGCCTAACTCATATAAAAATCATCCAGTTTTAAATATTGATATAAATCTATCAAGCTGCGGAAATTGTGCACAATTTTGCAACACTGCCTTTCGACTAGAAACTTCGCGAATGGAAATTCACCGAGACGTATGGAAGCGAATTCTCATTCCCAGATGTAACGACGCGCTATATAACAAAGTTGGCCGCCGATTGAAAAATCTAGCAATAAATTAGCTCACACTGATATAGTGATACTTCTTCCCCAACATTGTAATATGTGAAATCCTACAGTTAGTATTTGTTCCTTTTTCTTTCAAATATGATTTTATAAGTTAAATTATTACCTTCAATGTTGACAATCTCGTGACTAGAATTAAAAAAAAAGGTTTCTGCTCTGCTGCTAATGATATTAGCAATAATTAAACTAGAGGGCAAGATTTTCGTTTGAGATTGAAGTATCAGTTTTGTACTAACACTTTCCGTTGGCTGTTTTTTATGGGAAGCGCTGCCTGTTCATCTGGTCCGCCGTTTCTTTCCTAGACCCTTTCAAATTTTGTCGTTCGCCCTGAAAATGTCGATCCTGGGCTGCAAACCGCCATCTTCCTGAAACAACCGTGCTTGTGGGAAAAAAATTACCTTATCGGCCATCAGGCACTATTTTAACGAAATAAAGTTGCGTAAAAATTTAAATCGAAAGTCTTGTGATTACCGTTTTATTCAAGTTTGAATTTCGATCCCCCACGTGATAAGTCCTTTTTAATTTGTTTTAAAGCAGTGGTTGTTCATGGAATGCCTCTATTATTTAGGGTGTTCCGAAGAGCCGTTTTTCCGAGGAGCCGTTTCTCTCAAGAAATCTATTTTCAACAAGCCCTAAAGATCACCGTTTTCGTGCAGCGTGGGCATAGAGTTTTTAAAGTGTTCCTCTAGGAATCAAGTCCCTCACGTGTCGATACCTGTACCTCCACATTTGACGAAGAAAACTGAACTTCTAGCCTCTATCTACCTTGATTTCAGGCTAGAACCTGCAACTTCCAATTGCAACTTCCCTCGTCAAGTGACAGAAAATGGATAGCTACCGTACCCTAACGTTTTTGTTGAAATTGAGGCTTGTATAGAATTTCATTTATACTCTCTATTACCTTTTTGATGAAATCTACTTGATGATCAATTACAATACTTGATTAAATTTTTACTGATATTACATGTAATTATTTAAAATTTAAATTTCACATTCTTCACACTTAAGTGAACTTTAAATAATTATTTCCGATTTTTGATTTACCGTATTTACTATAGATTTTATCTCTACTTAACTTTTAGCACCGCCATATTTTAGGAATGTAAATTTTATTATTCATAATCAATAATCTGAACTGAAGTCAAAGTTGGACAACATGTTCTGAATTTAGAATTATTGAGTAAGTACCTACATCGTCGAAAATTGGTCAATTTTTCACTTGGGTTCTATAACTCATATTCTTGAGGATTTCGGTTATATCTCCTTTATACCCTCAACGTTTACCCTTTGATTTCATACAGTTTTAATTTGATTTTAGTGATTTTATTTTTCTGGCAGCAGCTGACTATATTGATGCATATACTATTTCAATTTTCAATCATTCATTTTTTTTTTTTTTTAAATTAGTTTTCTGTAAAGTTAAATCCTTTATATTTTCATTTCATGATAATGATATGGCCAGCGACTGTTAATGAACTTATATGGCAAGTAATAAATCTTGAGGTACAGGGTTATTGGTTATAAATGTCACCCCCTCTATCTTTTTTATTTGACATTTTAGAAAAAAGTGTCCCAAATAAAAGTTTTATGGTTGAAATTAAATTTTTTGAAAAACTCACTTTCGCAGTTTTAGAAAAGCTGGTCGCGCATATTATTGAATATTCGGATTCTTCATAAAATTTTGAGCAGATTTCATGTGATATACCCTATACCTAAGTTCAACTGTTTTGGAAATATTGATGGTTGAAAATTGACTTTTTGCAACTTTGACAGGCTGTAAAACCTGAACGGTTAATTTTAGAGCAAAACCGGTCTTATGTTTTTATCTTGGATTTTCATAAACTATCAGTTGACACTGATATTTGACATACCAACTTTGAATTTAATCCATGATTAAAAATTCAATTTAAATTTAATCTCCGGTTAAATTCAAAGTTGGTGTCAAATCATAGCTTATGAAAATCTAAGAAAAAAATGTAAGTTCGGTTTTGCTCTAAGATTAACCGTTTAGGTTTCACAGCCTGTCAAAGTTGCAAAAAAGTCAATTTTCAACTGTCAATATTTCCAAAATAGTTGAACTTAGGTATAGGGTATATCACATGAAATCTTCACAGAATTTTACGTAGAATCCGAATATTCAATAATATACAGGGTGTTCCATTTGAAATAGGAAAGTTGGAGCACGACCAGCATTTCTGAAACACCCTGTATATGCGAAAGGGAGTTTTTCAAAAAATTTAATTTCAACCATAAAACTTTTATTTGGGACACTTTTTTCTAAAATGTCAAATAAAAAAGATAGAGGGGGGTGACATTTATAACCAATAACCCTGTAATTATAATTTTTTTTTTTTGAGTTTGATAAATCTGATTAACCTATTTTTATTGATTTTATTTAAAGTGTTTTACCAACAATTGGTTTTATCTTTTAAAATTATTTAATTCTTGATTTTTAACCTCACTGTGAAATATATAGGTACTATTTTGATTTGAAAATTATTGCTTGTAGTCCGGTATGAGCTGCTGTTCAAAATTGGTTTCCCGTGTGCCTTTTTGGTATGCAAGCAAGCGATTTTTTTAAAACTAAATTTTGTATGTTAAAGAATAACCAAGTCCAGTCGGGACGCCGGGTTATGTGTCAGAGGCGTACAGTACGAGAAAATAAGATCAACTGAGTTTTTGAGCGGTTTTAAAGCCATTTTATTGCGCCGTTACAATCTGTTTTACTCTAATTACATGTTTGACATAATACATACAAAATCATGATTACTGGTAACATTTCACATAATTTTGGAAATTATATACGTACGCCTATGAGCGGCAGAACAAGCATATAGACAAGCACAGCGCGCGACGATGGAACTATGCGAAACTGCGATGTTTGTTGCAAAATATTGTTGAAGAATTGCTAACAAAATATATCATCATTTAAAAAAGGCATTTCATCGCAATTAATTTCTGATCTAGAAGATGCAGACAACAAAGCTTACCTATATTACATGATTACATGCAATCCAATCATCAATGCAAAATATGTAAACACTATACATACAGGCCAGGGTGTCCCAGAATATGTGGGCAATCTCTCGGATTTAGATAGAACGCAAAAAAATAACATGACAACTTCCTATAAAAAAAAATTCCTACGGCCCCCCCTACAAAGTTACGTGCCCCTAAAGGACGCCTCTGAAAATAGGTTTTTTGTTGATAACTTTCAAAATACTTCGTGTAATTTTTTTTTCTTTTAATATGATGGATACTAGATAAGACCCCTTAAAATGGACCCTTTCAAACACACTTGGCCAATCTAGTTTGCCAGGGACGGACTAGCTTTAACACAATAATGCTAAATTTTTTTACACCCTGTATGATATAGACATAGCAAAAATATTTTCAGATAGTTTCAACCTTGAACTAGAAAAAAGGTACTCTTATTCGATGTCGAAAAAATGAGCTGCTTTCGAGAAAAATCTGTTTTTGTGTATTAATGGTTTTTATTAAATAATTTTTTATGTCGACTCAACATGAAATCCTTCTAATCTTATGCATTCCATACCTATTTTAATGAAAGATTGTTCGACTCTCGATAATGCTTCAATTTTAGCCCTTATTTCGCGACGGTGAAAATTAA